GTTTCTGTTTGCCTCGTAGTGTTTCATTCGTGTTTGTGTGCTTGGCTTTTCGTCCGTAACTAACGTGTTTCTCTGATTTCAGCCTCCACCGCTTCCCAACAGAGAGGAGTCAGTAACCATGCTTCTAACCTACCTGAGGCAAGCCTTACCCAGCTGTGCAGAGAGGGAAGCATTAGTGCAGCGAATCACCACGTGGGGGCAGCACCGTCCAGTCAACGAGATTACCTAGTGCCGCTTCAAGATCATGTAAACCGATTTTGGCGGAGCTTTTCGTAAATAAAAATGAAAGGGTCTCAGTGTATGGACGTGTGTTAGTGAGGATATCTATTGGCTGTGTAACGTATCATCTTCTGCACCTACATAATATAGGTATAATATATATACAGTAATACTCGCATTGCAAGTCGGCATCGTCTAACTCGTCAATTCGCATAAGTCGTCATGGAAGTCAAAGTCTCGATTTTCTCTCATAGTAAATCCATTGGAATAGCCCCGCCTAAGTCGTCATTTATAAGTCGTCATTATGTACAAGTTGACGCCATCAGACAGGTCCCATGTAATACAAACAACATAATTTCTGTAAGTTGTCATCAGAAATGCCGATGGCGCGCGCGCAGTGTACGGTCTAGGCCAGGAGATGTGCGAGCTGGCTGTCGCATCTCGCATTTCTCAGCTCGCACATCCCCCAGATTCCCCAGTGTATGCAGCCCAATGCAGGGTGCGAGATTAACGCGAGTCCGGAGTCAAATGCTCCCTGGTTTATTGTCGGACTCCTTGATTTGACATAATAATGCAGGAGTCTGTTTGACTCCCTGAAAATTCTGCTATACTAACCAGTTCGTTCCAGAGCATGGCATCACGGAATAACCTTATTTTGTCAGCAAGTGTTCCAAGAAAATTTGGCAGACGCGCACCGCAAATGTACAAACGTGTAATCAGCAGAGGGTGTTACCGATAGCCAGCGTGTGCCGTGCTTGCCGCTAGTGCGTACGCTGTACATGCGTTATGACCAGCAGCGGTGTCGATTGATGTACGGACCCGATTGTTTCATGTCTGCTATGTATGTGGTGCGACCTGACGTCGTGTGTGGAGCATGTTTATGACTGCGTAGGAGCGACGGGTGCCTGAGGGGGGGACCCCTACATATAAGTCGACAAAATGACGGCTTACACGTATGTCGTCATTTTCGTAAGTCGGCACAAATATGCTGGTCCCAAAAGTGTCGACTTATGCGAGTTTTACTATATATATATTATATATATATATTAATAATAACTTCTTTCGGTGCATTGGGATATGCATGCTCCTTCTCGAGTAGAAAAACTGTCGGAAAGAGCCGGAAATGATCGTCAAGATAAGAATTGTGAACACTTACAATGTTTA